GATATAAGACCAGTTGTCGAAACCTGAAATAAAAAAAAAAAAGAATTAGTACAATGTCAAGAGAAGATCAAAAAAAATATGTATGAAATATACCAGCCAGCCACATTTAATTTAAACCAACGACTATTTGAAGCCCAAATAATAGTGACCTGATGTCGTTAAATCTCAAGAAAGCTTCCAAATGATGTACAGAGCCAAAGAAACCACAAACAAGCCATACAATGCTCCTATTGTAGCATAAAAAGACACCCTGTTAGTACATGCCTGGAAATAAGAAGAATGTAGTTGGAATATATAGAGTTGCTCGATATACTTACCGAAGAACAAACTGCAGAAGTCCAAGAAATCATCAATAAAACCATCAGCCACCATAATTTTAATGATCCACAAGTTCTGGAATTACTTTTAGAAGTATTAGAGTATATTAGCTTGAATAGTATCCTGATAATGAAAACAAAAAGGAAGAGATCATATACCTGCCCCCATATATCTAACTCGTTCTACTTACAGAAAGAAAGTGCCTTCCCACTGTTGCCCCAGTAGTTCCACATCTGAAAGTGGCCCCAACTGTGAAAAAAATAGAAAGGAAAAGACACCTCTTGCACCTTCAATGATCCCAATAGCTTCTAGCCTGAAGGTTCGCATACCACCATCACAGTATAAAAAAAACCTGACCACAAAAATAATTGACCTATATCTTGCTCCAGAAGTGGCAGCTGAGGTTAGTAACGCTAATGCCGAAATCCTCCTGGAAAGTCTGATCGATAGTTATACGAAAATGATAGAAACCTGGATGCCCAAACCAAGAGGACCTGAAGAATCCAAACCCACCAACCGCAGATACTGTTATCAAAATGGAACTAGCATTGAAAAGAATGAGAGAACCAAAGTTAAAAAGGATGAACCTAAGGAGTTTACTCTTTATCAAAAACTGGCAGAAATAGGACGTGCCAATAGAAAAGGCAACCTTGGTTATTGCCACCAAAATGGAATCGATATTGAAAAAGATAAAACAGATCTACTGACCAATGGACTTGGGGTTGAACTGGATGAACTTAAGACATTTGATTACCCCCAAGAATCTGCTAGTACAGATCGACTTGACGGAAAAAATAACATTGGACCCTGCTATCAAAACAGAATTGGTATTAAAAAGAATGATCACAATGCATTCGTTTATTACCAAAAGTCTGCAGATATGGGTGATGCTAATAGAACATGTCTGATTGAACCTGGCTATGAGAAAGAAATTAGAACTAGAAATATTGAGGTAGATGCCATTAGTAAGCCGAAATCAAATAGGTTAGATCAGAAGAAGGAAAAGGAAGTACAGAACTCACTTACAAGTCTTGAAGACATCAACGAAACTAATGATGAAAGCGACTGTGAGACGTTGTTGGTAACTATGATGGTGATAATGAAAAATTAAATAATAGCATACCCGAAAGACTCCTGGAAAAAGAAGCCCTGCAACATGCATATGAAAAATAGATGAATAAAGTTAGTAACTACTAAATGACCATGTGCACAAAAGAAAGATCCACCAAAATAGAATTAACTGAAGATAGACGAGAAGCACTAGGAAATTGTGTAGATACCTC